ATCTTTTTAAACTATTTTCAAAGGCGTGTTATCGGAGAACGCAAATGGAGCAAAATGACTAATGTACATATTTCACGCGAACTTAAGATGGTTCTTTAGTAAATAGAATTACATCATAGAGAAATGTTTTAAAAAATTTTTTTATATAATGAAGTTGAAGTACCGAAATTTCAGAACCGGATTTTTGAAGGACATATATTACTTATGCAACTCATATGACGCACGAATTTTTTTTTCAAGCGCAAATATTGGCGCAAACTTGCGCTTTATTTGAGAATTTGTTTAACACATAATGGTTTGTATATGTAGTTAAAAAGCGAAAAAAAAAAATGATTAGCTCGACTAACAATTTTGCAGTGTGGAAAAATGAAAAAAAAAAAAAAAACATTGCAAATGTATTTCTTAATATTTGCAAACGTCCTTTCCTACGAACTTTGTAACAGTTGTTGTCCTTGTAATGAGAAAATATAAAATATATTTTTTGTCTCTGCTGTCAGAGTTACTGGACACATGTGGTTGAGGCATGCGATTTTAAGATATTGTACCGTTTGTCAAACTATTAGGGAAATTTTTTCTATCGCACCTGCAACAAAACATCGCATACTGTAGCCACGTGTGATTTAGTGTCTCATTATTAAGATGGAAGCAACAAAGAAGGAATGGTGGATAATAATACAAAAGTCAAGTCGAAGTCGAAAGTTGCATTGATTATTTATTTAGATAACAAATTTTTTGATGCTTATCTGACGCATTATTTGAACATTATTTACTGATTAAAAAACTCACATATGCATGTATTCTTTCAATAACATTATGAGAATTTTGTTTTAATCAGTAATGAGTTAAACCCCTTTCTCTGAATATGGACTTTAATTTTGAAATTATTCAATGCAAACAATTAAAATTAATGATAAAAATAATTTAATGAATTTTTGCTTAATAATCTGTAATCGAAATGACGCGTTGTATTCTAGGTGTTTAGGCATAGACATTTTGTGCTTTAATGGCTGAAATTATTTGTTTAATCTAGCTAGAGTATAGAATTATTGAAAAGAAAAAACTTGAACTTTTAATAATTAATGAGTTTCTATGAAATGATACGTCAGCTTCATACATACTAGGTATAGTAATGCATATATAAATAATGCATGAAAAAGTCAATTGTAAAAATATATAAATACTTTTCGCTTCGAAGTAATAAAAAATTTGCAGGATTCTATACGATGGAAAATTTGCAAGATTCTATACGATGAGAAGTTTGCGGGATTCCTGCGATGAAGGAAATTTCCAGAATTCCATGCGATTTTCGTAGATAATTCAGAATGATATGTTTTTCATGAGTACACGTAAGCGGCATTTATTCGCAAGAAAATATTAAAGAAAAAAGAAAAAAAAATGATAATTTTTTGACTGCTTATATTTTTCTGTAATTACAAGATTATGCATTGCGTCGTGCGCATGCATTTTTCATTTATTTAAATAATTCACTTTAAAACTTCTTAAGTTTTCGAAGGTGAGAATTTATTCTTGGAACTTATCTAGCGGACATCGTTAAACATGTGGATCATGCGAAACGTTATTATCGCGCGCAATCAACAAATTAATGCCACTCCTATTATATTTATACGCCAAGCATTACGTTATACGCGAATTGTCTGATAAATATGCCGATGAAAAATATTAAGTTTTAAACGAAGTTTTATTACTATTCTATTTGTGACTTCATGTCTATTATATGGATAGTAATAATATTTATGATACGAATATTTATTATACGAATATTTACATGTATAATTTCATCCGGCTGTGATTCGCATATATAAAATTTGATGATCGATGATGCATAGCGACATATGCTTCTAAATAATTTTCCATTTTGTTTCTGCATAATATGACAATATTTCTGCTGAAATACTTTTTATTTATATATTTTTATATTTTATAACACGAAAGGAGAAGCCGTGACTATTCTTAATGCAAATGTAGATGAAATTAGGACGACTTTATTTATTTGCTTACGCATGCAACGTGTTGTAATTGTATACGGTTACATTATCGATAAATTAACATGTTATGAAGATATAGTGGAAAAATTTAATGAATGTATAATGATACGCTTTGCAGATTTTTTAAAAATTGAAATATCAAGAATTTTATGTGCATTTGATAATTTTAAGAATTGTATTTAATATTCAGGTATTATGCTAATTAAAATGCGGAAAAAAATCATATTTGAGATTTTTCTTTGATGTATTAAATTATTCTTAGTATTGATTGCTATTAAATCTGATATTAAAAGAACTTAATTAATTATGACATAATCAAGAAATGGAATTCTTTGAAAATAGTTAGACAAGATGTTTCTTATGATAATTAGACAAGATAAATGTTCACTTTGGGAAATGCTTTTCTGATGATCTTGACCTTGACGTATATGTTGTCCAAGATCATGATCTGAGTGACCTCTAACAGGTTTTAGCCGTCGCTCGGTATTCGTTAAAAAGTTATTAACAATCAAAGTTCGTAATTATTCCCCAGCTTTGCATGGAAATCAGATGATTCTAGGCAGGGGGGGAGGAGGTATGGGGTGGATCGACTAGGGAAATATGACTCCACGCGAAATGAGGTCCACCCCACCTTGCCTAGCCTATACGACTTTTTATGCAGAGCGAGATCCATCCTACCTCTTCCTTTGCCTATAAGGGCGTAACGACGTTTCATGCGGGAGGATCTCGTTTCGGTCTGGAAAAGGAGGGGTGGATCTCCCTCTTCACGTAGAAAGTCGTACGCCCCTAAATAGGAAGGGATTGTGAGATCTCTGTTCTCCCTGCAAAGGAAACTCACAGGATCCTTGAATCTTCTGAAATTCAAGGCCCTGTGATTCGTCCATGCGAGTCTGTATGACCTGTAGAGAAGAAAAGAAGTGGGATAGACTTCGTTTCGCGTGGAAAGTCATTACGTAAGCAGGGGGAAGGGAGACATCCTTCCTGAATATTGTATGTGGCAAAAATAAGATGTTATTTAAACATTTTTTTTGTTAATAACTTTTTAACGAATAACAAGCGATGGCTAAAACCTGTTAGAGATCACATATATTAAAGTCATCAAAGGAGCATTCCCTAAAGTGAACATTTACCTTAAACACTTTATTTCTGACGTTGCATTTTGCATTTTTTACGATTTTTTTAATTACTTGATGGTTGTTAATTAGCACAACTCAATCATGTAACTCAATGATAAACTAAATAGCAATAATGAAAAGTTTGTATTTTTTTAATATTAAGACCTGTAAACAAGGGCATTTTATTATTTCATTCATACTTTGACAGTGTTGAAATTCCATTACTAGTCTCGTTCTTTTTTCAAGTTTTTTCATCTTTCGATGATGCAGTGGAAGGGCTAAAGGAATGAAAATTGGACCACCCTTGACTTTTCCAGGGTTGTCCTTTCAGGCCCATAGGTTGAGTTTAGGTCTATTGTTCATTTTGGACCGCCCAGATTTACCTGACACTAAAAGCGCATATTTAGTTTTCGAATTTAGTTTCTATCCGAATTTCAAAGCGAATAGAACTATTAGCACGAGCAGTGCATTTTGATAGTGTCGAGTGTATTACGCGAGTATATTAAACATGGAATATATATGTACGCATGGCGTATGCCATTTTTTATATTTTGGAGTTCCAAGTGTACTCGCGACGGATCCGCAGTTTTCGGGCATCACACCATTTTGGTATTGCACCAGAATTCCTGAATTCGGACAAAGGGTTCCCGATATACATAATGTGCCATATATACCTGTGGATATGAATGTAGTGAATTATGTCTTCAACACATATAATGCATGTAATGCAAACGACGTCAATGGCAGTAAATATACTATTTTTTATTAATATATTTTTTTAATTATTGCTCGTGCTTGTAGAAAAATATACTATCTAAACGTAAGTTGTTGACTTTACTTAAACTTGTATATTTAAAACAATACTGCTTAACATAAAAACAGAACGTTTTTACTTAATTTTTAAGAACTTTCTTGATAGTATTTCGATTTTGAATTTGAATTTGAATTTCAGAACACTCTGTAGAGTGAAAAAAAATATAAACCCTATTCTAAGTATTTATTTTAATATTCGAGCGAGTAATTATTAAGTAACAACCAATTATCATAAAATCTGAATTTATTTAAAATATATATATTTCTTTCAAAATGCATGCGTGTGTTGCGTGTTTGTAGGTGTTGATAGGTATTTTTATAACATCCGAAATTTATTTCGCCCAATAATTTAATATTACTGGCTACTCATACGAATGACTTTATTTTTAGCAAAAATAATTTTTTTTAATTAAATAAAATAATATTTGTGGTTTCAAGAATAAAACCAATAGATAAAATACCTGTATGAACTTCCGTTGTTAATGCGTAAATTATTATATATTCGATAAAATACAATCGCAATTACACTAAATGAAGTTAAAATGTAAACTCGTACATATTTTGACGCTGGATTTAAGTCTTCTTTAGTGCATAATTAGTGAAGACGAGTACAAACTCGAGTACAAACTCGAGTACAAACGATAATTAGTGAAATTGAGTACAACTCCAGTTTGTATTTAATTTCACTAATTATCGCATTGAAAAGGACTCATCTAAACTTGAAACGCGGATTTACATTTTATTTTTAACTTTGTTTAGTAAATGTAATCTTTTTGTGAATTGTATTTTATCACTAATAAATATTTAATTACACACCAACAATCGCGGAGATTATTGTATACGCATTTTATTTAGACTGAAATAATTTTTTATTGCTTATTATTCCAATATGTTTAGATAATATTTTGTTTGCTTTTGCTTCACGTGTGTGAAGAGCTTAAATAGACCTTAAATAGGAAGTTCCGACGGAAATTCCGATTTCAAATTGCGAGATTCATTCGCTCAGATTTTAAGTTTCAATCTCGTCTGGAATATTAATCGCTTTGTTGCGTTGTGTGTGTTATAGCATATTACAGTAATGAATCCGTTCCAACATCGCACATGTATATATCATCACCACCACCAGTACCAATGCAGCCCCGCGAGGGTAATAAACGCTCGAAGAACAATAAGAAACGTCAAGTCCAGCAAGAACGAGTTCACCCTTGGATGATAGGTACGCTGAAGGGACATACCGGCCTGGTAAACGACATGGACTTTTCCAGCAATGGCAGATATCTGGCGAGCTGTGCCGATGGTATGTACTAAAAAAAAAAAATAAAAAGAGAAATATTTACTCTCCTCGCTTGCGTAACTCTAATCGGTGACATAATATATACGGAAAATATTATAAAAGTTATTTGCGCCGTTTTTATGACATCATTCGAAAACTGATAAAAATTCGCTTCGAGAGACTCTATCTTAGTAGAGTTTACATTAATAATATTAATTTTTTAAATGTTGAATGCCGATAAATGTCGAATGCTGCATTTTTTATTTTTCGACTTAAAAACAGATAATAAATTTTTTTTATTACAACGTAATTTTTTGTGTCATGTTATTTCAACGTGATTTACAAATTTAATTCATTATTTTTGTTATTTGTATTATTAATTTGATGATAATAATTGTCCCACGATTTTATCGAAGAACTTATATTTGAATTAATAATTAATTTAATTATTTTAAGAATTAAATTATTATCAAGTTTAAATATAAAAAAATTTTAAGTATATACTATATAAAGGTATGTAAAATTACTTATAATACATAACACGTGTAAAAATTATACAATTTGTAGTGGAAATGTATAAAATTGTACGTTTTTATAAAAATTAATACTTTTAACTTCAATTATGTAAATTATGTCTTTATATTAGATAGAAAATTTTTTGCAATAATAGTATATTTTATAGTTTCTATGTAAATGTATAAATTTTTCTAATATTTTCTAATATAACATAATGATAACGTATCACATATTGCATTTTTGTTCGTACATATCAATAACATAGCTTAAGAAAAATTGTACGTATAATTCGTTGTGTAAATATGCACCTTTAATAGCGGGTCCCAAAATTATCCACTACAATCATTGTAATTTTACATATAATTTTTTACAGTGTATAGGAAGGTCATAATTATAGACAAGTGCCACCGTAAGAGTTACGTTATAACAGGAGAAAGCTTTCTTCTATTTCTAATATATTTCGATCTTTTAATATAATGATCCACACGACGCGAAGACACAATAAATTACGCGACTAATCGTTTAAACTTGCAAATCGGGTAATGTGTTTGTTTTTTATACGTTATGTCGCGCGGGAATTATTCGTATTGTGTCTCGTATGTAGATAACTAGTTCGTATGTAGATACTAGCGGCATAGTATCGCCTTTCTCTTTCTTTCTTTCTTAGCTGATTTTCCATTTTGCAAGCCGCATTTCCCATCACAAGCTTCCTGCAATTTAGAATTGATAAAGTCTAAACTTCGTGTACATGTCACTCATATAAAAAAACTTTTTTTGTAAAGTAGTTCGACCATTTCTTTTTGTTTGTGAACAAATATAGTCTGTTTACAGTGGAGAACACTGTATCTTTTATATTCAATACTAATCCTGATGTCTTGTAAGAGATTAAATATGAACATCTGTTTTAAATATATCTATATGAATTGACAATTGTAAGTCTGGGCAATATAAATAGCCAAAATATATTTTGCAATGAATTATGAAGTTTCGAGTTAGATACCATGCCGCTAAATAGGTAAATAGGAAAACAATGCCGCAAATATCGTGAATAATATATTGTGGAGAAAATATTATATAATAAAAATGCCCAAATATCAGATTGATTAGACACTATTAGATAAGAATGTTAGATCCAGTTAGATCGCGATAGACGGATTTTATGTGGCATATCAGGGAGAAAACAGATTATACGTTTTCAGTGGGTCATCGACATTTGATGCAAAATGCAGTGTGCAAAATTTCGTACTGATGCAAAATACAGTGTGCAAAATTTCATTATCTTTATAATACACGTTGTAATTTTCTTATAAAGCGTTCAACTTTGATAAAATAAGGGACAAGGTGCACACAAACTTGCATAATCCCATTCGCGATTTGCGAGCTTTGTTTTGCTCTTTAACAATTCTAAATTGATTTTTTCTAAATTAGCCGTTGAAATTTTCTACCCAATTTTGGTGTCGACTATCCTCTTCTTGCCGTTCAAGTCTTGACAGTAAGCTGTGTGTAAATATGGCGTGCGTCCCTTCGTTTTAGGAACGGTCGTACTGAATAAATTTCGATGATTTGGTAGAAATCGATCTGATATGCATGAACCGCCTCTTATAGACAGAATATATCATATGCCTCAATCACGCACATTAATTACGCGCCTTAATCATGCAACATTGTCGTCAGACAGTTCATTGCCGAAGCACGAAAGATAAAGAGGGGACAGTAAGTATGATGTTAACACGAAAATCAGGTCAAAAGTTGTATTTAATGCCGACCATTGTTCTGAATAATTTATATAATTTAGCTAATCAGCGTTGATGGACACGCAAATAAACCGACATTCCATTTTAGAGATAAAATTTATTTAACCTTTAAGTAAATAGGTGGGGTGCTCAGATTATATTTCAAACAAATTTTATCTTTACAGTTATGATTTTTAATATTTACAGAGTTAAATTTAACATTATTTTATTATATCCTTATGAAACAGAGGAATATAAAAATAATAAATTTTAAGACTTCTGAGCAATACTTTTTATTTTCCATTTCCAAAATATAAGGTTTTTAAAATAACTATACGTGGGGTGCTATTGCCATCTACGTACTTGAAGGTTAATAGGTTGATGCAAAATCTGATCTGATTGCGAAAAATAAAAAGAATTAAATAACTTGAATGCATGTTCATTACACATTTCTTGTTTATATCATCGTTTCAGTGAATAAAATGCGAATGACGTATCGTATGTCGAATATAAATTAATTAAATGAAGATCGGTTTCAATACGGTAGGTCAGGCACAGTCCGGCGTGAATATTAACGCGACTACTAGATAGAATTACTTTGCGTAAGAAAACATCACGATCACGTGGGCGTGGAATATTTGTATTATAAGAGCAAAGTAAAAATTGGGAGATTAGCTTTCGGGAAGATAATTTATTCCTAAACAATTGCAGCGATATCTTTATTAACGAAAATTATGGAACAATAAAACTTTTTATAAATTGTTATTTATGCGACTACATTTTTACGATAATGTTTCTTAATTTAGGGGAGTGTTGTTTAATATACCTAAGTGTTGTTTAATGTATCTAAATCGTACCTCATAAATTTTTTCTTATTATTGAACATATGCGACAGTTATTAATGATAAAAATATACAATAAATGAAAACAGACAAAAATGTCTAAATTATATTATTTTGCGTACATGCATTTTAAAAAATCGAGTACATTGATGCAATTTTTAATAATAAATTTATATAGCTGATAATAATCTAACAATGCAATTTTATTTTGTAGTTTTATGAAAGTAGATTTAGTGTAGAACATATATTTATTTTATGTACATATTACAATTATTATAAAGTTTAAATCAATATTTTTATAAAATTTATCATATTACCTAAATCGTACCATTTGCACCGGTTTTCTTACGATTTGACAATTCATGTTTATTTATTTATCATATATTATTATATTATTTATTATTTTATGACTAAATAATTAGTTATATACTTATAAAATAAATATATCTGATAGATAAACATGTTAAGCATTAATTCTCAAATCGTATCATTAATTATATTATTATTTTGTATTGGATATTTTTCTTACTTTGTAATCGTTATTAATATTGTATATAAACCATTTCAATCATATTTTTTATTGTTTTTATTTGTGCAAATATATACTATTTTTAAACGAGATGTGTTTAAGAACCGATGGTTTCGATTCAGGAGATTGATTGTTTAAATCGTACCTTTTACTCATCATAAAAGACCTATAACAAATTAATTGTTTATATAAAATTAAATAGTAGATGTATTAAACATCCAGCTCCAATTTCCAATATTATCTTGCTTGCAAATTAATATTTAACGAGAAATATTATGACATAAAATATAGTACGATTTTCAACTTTCCGTATACGGTATTCATTAGTTATCTTTTAAAGTAAGTATGTAGTACATGTTTATTAATTCTGTTACATACAATTTTACATTGATTATTTCATTGCGATATGAAATTCTAACGGAATATCACTTTTATATTATCTGGGATTATCCAGTTCCCAGACTCGTCGCTAAATACATCAATAGATACGCTCTAAATATACACGGAGCTAGATAACATCAAGTTACGCAAATAAATTAGTTACGTCAATAAATAATAATATAATAATCATACCACATAATAAATCAGCTTCCTAATCGAGTAATCAACAGCTTTTAAATTGTAGATAGCTACAAATTCTAACGGCTTGCCGTTAATTTATCTCGTAAGCACCGATCACAAGTCTCCCATTAGTCAGACTCCAATTTAAGCTCGTGAATACAGTTTGTCGGTCGGTCGGCGTCATTCATTTCATAATTCTGTTTGATGGAAATTATCGCGGGAATCCACAGATTCTCGCGTCTGTACTCTATAACGACTTAGTCACGCTTCACCGGAAAGTAGTACCAGGTTTCCTCGAACGGACAAAAGAGAGAAAAAAAGAGGAATGATTTTATTAAATGACGCAACGGTACATATTGAAACGTCGCCGTCATACCGCATTCCGTTACTTGAGCAACAAACGATTCCCTCTTATGTCCGCGTCTTCCCTTCTACGCGCGCGCGTTCCCGCTTGTCTCTGTCTCTCCTTCCGTTGCTTTCGCGCGGGCCGGTTCCCGGCTCGCTCTTTCCCGTTTGGGCGCGCAGTTGGCTCGAATTCAATTATCGATATCCCGCTTCTGCGATGCCGGTGAAACTTTCGACGCGTTTCGGTGTTACTCCCATTAACGTCGCATTTGCGTTTACTCTTTACCGACACGTGGCTAAATCCGGTCTCGCGTGGTTCGAATGACGTCTGCGAAGAGGTACCTGCGGTGGAAGCTTACGAGTCGAAATCTCGAATTTTTAAACAATTTTGCGGAGAAATCAAGTAAGTAAAAATATACTAATAGCGAGAAATAAAAGAAGCTGAATTAATATACAGGATGTATTTATCGGGGCTTATTAACCATATCGCTGCATTTTTAAATAATTCAAATACGACTAGCAGCGTTGCATCCAGCTATCTTGTTTCCTGGAAAACTCGATAGTCCGGATATATTTTTAACGAAGCCCCGAAAGATTGTTAAAAAACTTTAGGTTCAAATACCTCCTATTAGGTTGATGCGAAAGATTTGTCATATTTGTTATAAAGTTGGTAGCATAATTTTAATAAGATTAAGACTTAACAAGCAAAATTGTCGCGCCACATGGGCTTCATTTTTATTTACTTCATACTTTTTTGTTTATATAGACAAAAGTTTTTAGTTTTTTCAAATTTCGGGTTTTTAATTTATTTTGTTCTAATTTTACTTGGTACGAATTTTGATGGAAACTTCTGAATCTTTAGCATCAACTTAATATATATTACTTTCTCCGCGAGAAACGTATCGCTTCTTAGACACTCAGGTGGATGTTCGATAAAATAGTTGAAAGATAATTTTTACATTCGGTATAAAAGCTATAAAAATAATATAATATAAATAAATTATTTAAAATCAAAACTTAAAAAGCAAAATTATGACACAGGTTTCACTCTTCATTCTTTTTTTTCTTATTCATCTAGATAGAAATTTGACATTTATTTTTAATTTTCTAATTTATTTTTCTTAACTAATTGTATTTGATATGAAAATCTTGATGGAAAAATCACAGATTTTTAGCATCAATTTAATACCTATTACTTTCTCCGCAAGGAACGTATCGCTTCTTGTGTAGTTACGTAGATATTAATAAAATAATTTAAAGATAATTTTCATATTCACAGTAAAAGCTGTAGAAATAATATATAAATATAATTTGCATACAGGATGCATTAAATATTATTTTAAATATTATTAGTCATGCTATTTTTTAAGGGCAAATATCTGGCATTTGCGAATAGGGGCACTTACGTCGTACGCGCGTCTTGTTTCGCGAGATGTGTCTCCTTCGGTTCGGTCACTATACTTACGGACGACCGTATGCAACCGCGTTCTCGCTATTTTTATCCCGACGAGCGTCCGAATGCGCGAACGTCGCGCAAATTTATCGCGAGGACGTGACCGAGGCGGCTGACCGGCAAAATATAATACAAACTGCGTTCTTTTTTTTTCCGTTGTTAACACAATTAGCGAAAGTCGCATGTAAACGCTTCGTTGAGTTTACTTTTACATTTTACCGCCGTTATGTTTATATCTCGAAAGACAGCTTAATTGTCCCTCTCGTGTGATGGATTGGTTCTCTCTTCTCTCCCGGTTAACAATCAGAGCGCGAAGTGACATTAGCGAAAATCATGATGGTGATAGAATGAAATAATCGCATCGAATTAGATATCCGTTCGAAGCGAGATGATTGTCGAGAGGAATTTATAGAAAATCGTTTCCTTCGTAAAGAAAGTTGACTCTTATTTGCGATAAAATATGGGGTGATTATAAAATGCTTGTGCGCAGCTTTAAATTTTTATAACATCTGTTCTATACATGATAAAATTAATCTGTAAAAAGAGCAAGTAAATTTATTTCAGTTTTACATGCATTTATTCTGCGGTTGTTATTTCTCAATCTATTGACGTTATTACAGATGGAGATAAATGGAGACTGAAGTATTTTAAAGACCTACAAATATTCTTACAGTTGATTCATAATAATACTTTGAATTACATTTATAATATCTTTATTCGTAAACCGTCTAAAAAGTGATATTTTGTTAAATGTGTTCTTACAAGAAGAAATCCAAGTGGCTCAAATTTTATGATCGTGGTTTTTGTTAAATTATAGTGAGGTTAGTAGAGATTACTCTTAACTCTGGAATACTACTTTAGAGAATTTTCTTCTAATTGTAAGTGCAAATTCGTGTTTAGTACAGTTTTTATTATTCACATTTTGATAGCTTAAAATAACAATATTAAAGTTTATTTTTTTTTACATTAAAATAATATTAGTTTAGTTATTCTACATTTTGCAATCTATAAAGTGTGTAGAATAAAAAATGTAAAATAAATTCCTAATTATGTGGATGAATCTTCATCTAGAGTAGTGCCAATGTAAGAAAGGTATGAGTAACATTCTAGAGTTAATGTATACTAAACTTCACTAAATCACTATTTTAACCAATAATAATTTATTTTATTTCACCATTTAAATTTTTTTTCACAAATTAATTTTATTATATAGAATAAAAAAGGAGTTATGGCAGTTCAAAACTGCACAAGAATTTTATTAACACCTTGTATATATCTCACGCAATCAGTGTTAAATTATATTCGTCTGAAATAATATTTTTCTGAGGGGATCCTTATCAGAGCAGATTTCAAAATTGCTTTAGGATAAAACAATACGAAACGAATCGATTACTCATCGCTTTGGGTACTTATTGAAGCATATATAAACGCAGCTGTCATTATTCGAGTGAGTGCTCTATCAAGAAAAAGACCAATCCCCCTGATGCGGGTATTTGTTCTCGAACGCGCCTCCGCCGCGGCATTGTGCGTGTGTCGCGGATCATTCTTTTCCGCACGGAAGCTGATATGTAAATTTCGGATCCCCGCCAACGGTAGCCCCCTCCGTTCGGGCGGAAATATCATGCGTTTGCACAAGATAACGCGGGTGCGAATAAAAACAACGCGCCGCCGTGAAGACGTACTTCGCGACTCGTCTTTCCGAAATTATTCACGAATACGTATCGTCGCGAAAGCAACAGTCGTTCGGATGTTTTTCCCTTGCTATGATCTGCCTCAGTACGAATCGCTGCATCTATGAATTGAGTGGCACAAAGTCACCAATGCCGCTGAACGACGTACTCAACAACACACGGACGAAGTATGGCTGGCACGAATTACGTATGTGACGTTTCTTTTTTTTCTCCTTTCCTCTAACTTTGGGTGCTTTCCAGCAACGCAGACGACATAGTGTAACACACACATAGTGAATCATTACATTATTGCGAATCCAAGTGTGTAAAAAGTGACTTCAGTACATGTGTGATTAGTTTTTTTCCGTGTAAAAACAACACACTGTGTATATTGCATACAAATATAACATTTAAACGTACAAAGCATTTCATACAAAGCATTTAAACGTGTAGTATAATATAATTTTTATACACAGAAAACTAAATAACACATATATTGAAGTCATTTTTAACACACTTGGGTTTGTAGTAATCCTTATTGTTTGCTAATGTTGAACAAAGACGAAATGATTCACTGTGTTACACCGTGGCGTTCCGCAAAACGCATAATGCGCATGATGTATCATTTTATCTTTGTTGTTTACCGAATGTTACACGAGACTAAAATGATCATCATGCGCATTATGCGCTTTACGGAACCAGAAGTGTGCTGTGTCTCTTGCTGGGAATCACCTTTCATCTGACTTCACCTGGCCCTACATTTGCCCTACCTTTACCTTGCATATCTGTATCGAGCGCTCGTCTGTATTGGAGTATCTACTGGTATACTATCGCATTTGTTTCCGCGACCCTGAACAACAGAAGTCCAACAGGTGTACTGTCGATGTCTGAAGATACATTAATCCTTGAATTCCTGTCTTTTATTCTCAATATTCCTTAGAATTGCACAAGTGTATTTCTGCATTTATTAAAAACAATTCTATTGTTGTTTTATTAGCTCGTGCTCTTCTTTGTCTTTATACTATAACATACGTTCCGCGTTTTGTTTCCATCCGACTGTCGCTATTGGCTCAAATGAGAGTGATTTAACCGATTCTAAAGGATTTTTTATGAACGTGCTTTCGCTTTTATCGCGCAACATTTTTCGGATAATTGCGTATCCGATTTCTGTCTGTTTTCTGTCTGTACACCCACGTACAAAATGTGGCGAACGAAATTATGTCAACCTTTATCATTCCTGTCGGTGTAGTCAGGAGCCGAAAAAATTCAAGATAATTTTTAGGTCAAGAACACATGCAACGCGGCCGCTCGCAGCATGTTTACCAAAAATTCACGGTCTTCTTCATACAAAGTGAAAGCGTCTTCGTCACGATTTTAACGACAATGAAAGTATACGTGTCGCGCGGATTATCGTAAAATTGGCACGTGAATAAATTTCGCTTATCTGTCTTATCGTCTCGTCTTAAAAGGAATGAAATGGTATCTCGTTTAAACGCGATCTATCGGGGTTTCAATCTCTCTCAGAATCAATCTTGCATGAGTTCGTTGAACTATAAGACATCCACTTTGCTTATCTTTTCGCATTGTGTACCAACCTACCAACTATTTGTACCGTACCGAATGTTAACAGAGATTTCTTCAATAATTAGAATAATTAAAGAAAGAAAGAAAGAGAAAGATAGAAGGGTCAGATTTGCATGCGTGTGTGTGTGTGTGTGTGTTTGTGTGTCTGTATGTGTGTGTGTGTGTGTGGACATCTTTAGTAATGTAGACTGCGGAGTAATTTACGTATATTTGTTTGTCCCTATGAAATAAAGATGAGAGCTTGCGAGAGACGAGAAAGCATGTCCAGTCCTCCGGGCATATGTATAAGAAAAAAGAGTTCAAGAAGAAGACATCTTCGTCACTGCAGACGGACTGCAGAGAATCGCAAAGCTTCGCACGTCGTGAAGATAAAGAAGCAGGAAAAGTGTCCAGGAGCAGGACTCGGGGATCTTCACTGTTTTCTTTCCAACACGTCGGTAAGGTGTCGGAGGAGCCTTCATCGCTCGAGGTGTTTACCAGCGACACATCCAGCAACGATGACATCCCGGACGAGAGCCAGCGGCAGATGATGTTCCTGAACGATATGCCTACCTGTTTGGCTTCCACGATCAACAAATGTACACTGTCACCGAAGGAATTATTTGAACATGGCTATCCCATCGAGTCGACTCTCTTTCCGGGTTACGCGATGATAAACAATGTATCATATCCATCAGGCCCCAAGATTGAGAGTGATAGTGGCCAATACAGCAATTCCAGCTCGTCCGACAATTCCGAGCAGGAGAGCTCGTCCGATAACGAGAAGAACTTCGACAAAGAAAACAGTCCCGACAAACCGAAGCATCGAAACGAGAAAAACTGCTCCGAAAACAAGAAAGGATGCGATAGTGAAAGCAGCTCAGATAGTGAGAAAAGTATTTCGGATGACAAGAAAAGCTCCGAAAGCGAAAAGAGCTGCGATAGTGGGAGCCATTCCGACAGAGAGACTAGTACGGACAATCAGAGCTCCGAACACAGGAAGAGCTGCGACAGAGATGGCAGTTTGGACAACAAAAACGCCGAAGACGAGGATTGTTCTACCAACAAGAGACTGGAAGAAACGGACTATGAAAACGAGAACAATTTGATCAACAAGAAGAGTCGAGAGGAGAAAAAAGGATCAGGCGCAAACGGCAATACGGGGTTGTTGGAGAGGACATGCGTCAGATGCTACAAGGTATTCTATGCCGATCAGAACGGCGAGTATCTGAACGCGGAACGTTGCGTTTACCACTGTGGCAAGTTGTACAACCGCATGACCAACGACAGCTGGTATTGGACGTGCTGCAACCAGGCCAGATTTTCGCGCGGATGTGCTGAATGGAAGACACATGTATGGACTGGCCTCGTCCCCGGAATCAATGGACCCTTCGCGGGATATGTGCACACCATGCCGTCTCCAATGTTCCTACACGATAACAACTACGGCATCTACGCGATGGATTGTGAGATGTGCTTCACGCTGCAGGGTTTGGAACTCGCCAGAGTGAGCCTCGTCGACTTGTACGGCCAGGTCGTGTATGACACGCTCGTCAAGCCGAGCGCTGAGATCATCGACTTCAACACCAAGTTCAGCGGCATTACGGAAGAAGACATGTTTAACGTCACCAAGACTCTCCCGGAGGTGCAGAACGACCTGCTCAATTTCATCCACGCCGAGACGATTCTAATGGGCCACGGTCTCGGAAACGACCTCAAAGCGCTGCGCCTGATCCACAAGAACGTCGTCGACACCAGTGTGATGTTCCCGCACTACCTCGGCTTGCCATATCGTAACGGCCTCAAGACTCTGGCGCGGAAAGTGCTCAACCGGAAAATACAGGAAGAGACACATAATTCCATCGAAGACGCCCGGGTCGTTATGGATTTAGTGTTGCGAAAGGCTCAATACGAGTGGCAGCAGTCTCTTGCTTGGTAGATAAAATCTTAGATTAAATCGCCATCTCGAGAAAAGACTCATCTACGTGAACAAGAACTATTCGATAGTCTTGGCAGTAGTTCGCGGTGAAATAATGTCGCGACAGGGAGCGCGTGTTATTGGACTAATTTGTAAATATAAATCAAGAAGAACCGCGTTTTTTTTCCTAGTGTTCGTTTCCAGGGGTGAAATCTGTGATATTACACATATAGTGCAATGCGTTCCTCACGTGCGTTCCTGCGTCCCCACGTTCGCCTCTGATGATAAGGGACGCGATTGTACTCACATATACGCACACAATACATAACACAAACGTAACATACAGCTTGTAAGTTGATAATAATTGACAATCACGGAGAAATTTATAACGGACTACGCGCAGTCGAACATTTATCAGAGACTTTAAATCTATTTATTATTTTTCATACTCTTTGTACTTTTCATACTACTCTACTATGTACTACTCTATACTATCGCTAAATACTACACTTTTTACTTAACTGCTATCGATCTGATATTACTTTAAAACTTTATCTCGAACTAATTTTACTTTCTAACTGAACGACGATCGATTTACTGATTGGACTCTTTACATTTCAAACATTAATTATGTTCGACTATTAATTTCTTTCAAACTTTATTTTTCTCCGATGTGCATTTTTATATATATATTCGTATGTGTTTTGTATTGTATATACGTAATTTTCATAAGCGTTTTATATATACTTTGTACATATATTATATATTGCATTATGGAGCGCAATTTTGTACTCGCAAAAATGTGTATATTCGTGAAAATCTACGTATTTAACATGGATACGTATGCCTTCGTTATTCAATATAACGTATCACTTTACCATCCTATTATGCATGTTCCATCTTATCATTCATTCCTCATTCAACATCATTGATTTTGTTTCCCGCGAAGAGGATGAGCGGCGTCATTGATGCTGGTTGGTAAGTGCCTCTTGTTTGATTTCTACCGATGATCCGTATTTAAATTCCACTCGAGATGACCGTGGATTTTTCTTGAACGAGGTCATGACGCCGAGTACTATCCGTTAACGTGGCTCGCCAACTGTGAAAAGAATATAACGAAAATATTCAACTCACGGATTTCGTAATTTAATTTCAATTGATTCATTGATTAATTTTATTCTCCGATTAAAATTGTCCTCGTTGCGTTTAATTGCGTTGTTAAAAATTCATTAAAACTTATTGAAAGTTAATGAGAAGCATAATGTTTCTCTTTACAAAAATGACATTCTTTGACATGTGCGCGCATATTCGTGCGGTCGAATAGATGTCGACCGAATTTCTTGTGCAAATAGACGCAGAAAGATATACGGAATTATATTATTACTGATATCCTGAGTGTTATCAGCCGCAAGGTTTTCTCTTTAGATGTGCTACCAAGTGCGATATTCCGGCAAACAAAGTTTGCGAGCCACGTACTGTTACGTATATCGGCCATGTGTGTGATACACGCGCTTTGCTTGTTATCAGTTTTCGACGAAAACACGACGAGTCGTCATAACGATTGAGCGTATAATAATAGATATATATACATATGTGAATAATACTCTCACGAGAGAGACTGCCAGCGCTTTTATATATCGACAATCTTCATACTTCATCGCTCGCAATAATCATCCGTTAATAATCATCCCGTTAATAATCATGTAACGGCAGAATTGTCTGTTGCGATAACGAATGTAATATTTAAATGTAAATATCGCGTCTAAGTAATATGGAGACACAACGGATTTTGTAACGATAGTATTACCTTGTACAATATGTATTTATATATATTTTTCTATCCTCGCGTACCGTAATTTTATAACCCGTAATTTTATAAGTAGCATCAGCGACGAGTAAAATTTCTTTTGGCGTTTCGTTTTTTTTTAAATTTTAACGTGAAAATCGACTACAAGGCGAGTTTTGCGATACTTTAAAACTAACGACGGAGAAAACAACGGGGCTGGAAACCGAAATCAGTAAGTTTTACTCATCGCCATCAATCTTTTAAAGCTTGACGGACAATTAGCGACGTGATTGAATAATGAAAAGTAAAGTAAGAAAGTACGAGGCGCAATCGCGCCAGCTGATTATGATCTCACTACAGATTCCGTAGAATCGTCTCATCGTACAGGTCGCGGTTCGATTCATGTTTAAAAATCATTTCGTCCTTATTGTTTGTCAAATGTTAAACAATGACAAATGATGCTCATAAACGTTGTGAGCATGAATCGAATCGCGGTCACAGTAACGCGGCACGCGCGTTATGATTTTACCAGTAATCCTGATATAGCCGCAATACTATAGTTTAACCCTGAAAGTCACAAGATTTCCAACTTGGTGAGGATCATAGAAGAAAGCTCATTGGACACTCAACCTGATCGAATGAAATCTGATAATCTCAAGTTTCAACGTTTGTTTCTTCCAGTGATATACACATAAGTCTTAAAATAGCTCTTAAAATAGGTCATCTTAAGACTTTCTCAAAGCAACGAAGAGTGCGTCCCACATTTTGTTCACAGGAGGAGTGTCCAACGAACGCCCAATTCAGGATAAAGACATTGTCATACAGCTTTGAACGTAAATATATGTTGATTATGAAATATATGTAGCATTGTTTCTGTGTGCTTTTATTTGGAATATTTTTCCCTCCGCTCCCAATAAATACCTCGGCTTAGAAACTGTCTCTTGGCGTTAAGGGAATCATCTAAATCAGGAATCGGCAAATCTTTTCTATAAACGACTAATTTATAATATTTATAAAAATATATAAATCTTGATTTATATGTCCCGTCTGCAATCTGGGTCTTTTATCCAATCCAAGTTTTTTTTCTACTGTTCTAGACTTTCAAAAAACGTAGAAAAATTCAGAGTTTCGACATCTCTATTACATTATCCAAATTAATATACAAGATATTTTAAGTCTTAGGAGGAGGAACCGGATCTCTTTCATCTTAGAGAAATTTGAGAGTAAAATTTCACTTGTGCTAAAAGGACCTAAATTGTAGACGGAGGGAGTAAAAATACGATTGCAATTAGAGAATTAATAAAAATTGAAATTTTTATAATATTTTAATTTAATTATAATTTTTAATTAAAATAAAATATTTTAAGCTTTGAAACTAATTGTGTAAGAGGCTTTAAAATTAAAATTTTATCTAATTTTCACGTGTTGCGAGATATTTTTCTCTGGTTTTTTCAATTATTTAAGAATGTAAAAAGTGTTCTTAGTTCGTGGATCGCAATTTGCCGATTCTTGGTCTAAACACGGAAAATGGCGAATCGGCCTGATTCAAAGGTATTCTTTGTCTTTTTGTGCGAAGGAATCGCGGCGTCGCGTTGCGAATGAAATTGTTGGCGAGCGTTGGCCGTAGGATTTTTTACGTGGAAAGTCGAAGGCCCTCTCCTTGTTTCCATCCCATCCCGCGACATCATGATGACGCTTTTACAAGCCACGTATACTGTCCTGTAAATAGCAGCGTGTTTTTCAAAAATGCGTTGCAAGACAAGGTTGCCTGTCCATTCTGGATAATGACATTCCTCGGTCTCGACGATGCTGACGGCTTCGCGCTATTAAGTCTGACTTGTGTGTCTTCTCTTCGGAAGAGAAAAAAGATTGAAGGAAGGACGAATAAAGAAGAATACATTGTCGGACTGTGTACTTAATTCTTGTCAGCTTGCTTATATCGAAAAAAAACTAGAAAAAAAGTTATCAAACTTCGAATAATTATTGCCCATTCACGCCGAGACATTTGATTGTCAAGAAAAAAAAACTACTTTGCAACTACCGTAAAATAAAAAAAAAGGTTGGTTTATATATTTAAACTCAGTGAGGATAAGAGTATCAATTTTTCAAGAATACATGTAGCCTTTTTGAGGTTGTTAAACTTTTAACTATTGATTAAAATTTTATATATATGGAATTATATTAATAAAATTATATTTATAAGATTATATTAATAAGAACTATCAATAAAAATTATGTTTTGGAAATTTTATTTTATTAAATATACCTTCCTTTCGTTCCCGGACCATCTTTTTTTAAAAAGTATACGTAATATACTCTTTTCTTATGATTTAGATATAGTAGCTCTAAGGAACTAAAGGCAAGATCAATTACATGTATTAAAGAATTTTACAATAGTTGTAAAGCCGTTTTTTTCTGCTGAATTTCCAATTAAGCAGTCCATCAAGTTATTTGTATCGACAATTAGACGATAAGGTCTAGTAGGCAGGTAGGCGTGCGATTGTGAACGGCAAGAATTTCAGTGGCGTTTGTCCACGTGTCGAGTGGGCTCGGCGCGTAATTAAAAAGCATTGTTCCTTTCGTCGGTCAAAGTCCGTAAACCGATCGGTCGTAAACATTGACACGCGCATTTCCGCTTTGTATGAGATATGCTGCGACGGGTGAACTTCGAATACGTTGTTTTTTTCCACGTGCGTATTTCATTAGCCGTTGTGCCTGCGTGCTGATAACGATCGGATTCGCGAGGTACAATGCGCTCATCGATAAATACGTTGACGACTCTATCTCATTAGCACAGCTGCAACGCGATTTGCGATAAATTTTCACGTCGCCAATTTTTCCCATATTGTCGTACGGTTTAGCAAATGCTTTCCGTATCTCTCGACTGTCGAGCCCGCCTCGATCTTTAGACTATCGGGGACAATAGGCTAAACAAGCATGAAAAATTCGTTGATATTTGAGAATTGACAAAAATTAATCGAAAGAATTAATCTTTACAAGATGGAAAGTCACTGTATTGGCGCTGAACAGTGTATATATTTCGAATACAATAAATTATAATAAAGCCTAAGATACGCGACGCATTTTTTTTCTTGCTGGATTTTTCACATTTTAATAAAATATTAGAATTGCTTGGATTACTTGCGTTTTAGTAAATAACTGAATTAGATTGCACACAGAGAGAATGCAGAATTTTTAGTAATTTATTATAATCGAAAGTCAGCACGAAAAAATGCATCATGTACCGTAGGCTTAAAACTTATTCAAGGAAAAGCTATAAAATTTTTTAAATAGACCCTCCTTCTAAAGCAAGGTTGTCATAAATTCGTCATCTTTAAATTCTATACTTTCCTCTAATTTCCAGAGAAAATTGCGTGATTTTCCTTGATCTTTCTACAATGTTTCGAATTTTGTTGTATTTTCGTTCTGAAAATTGTCGAATATTTTGTTAAGAGAGCAATTTAGCAATTTAAATTACTATTAATGTTGCTGACACTGCTTGCATTTAATTATTAAGCTGATTCCAATACTGTGTGTGATATACGTATATCAAATTTCTTTAAAGCCAAGAATTTTAATTTTCCAGAAAATTTTGCAAAATTCCCTGACTTTTCGCTGATTTCCCTGGCTGTTTTCGATTTTCCTGACATTTCTCTGATTTTCAGTTTTGCGGTAACCTAAAGGTTAATAAACAAATAATACACTCGTCGTAAATGATAATACAGTCCCTGAAATTTCTGATAAAAAAATAAGATTCGACTCTCGTCGGA